TAGTGGGAATCAAGTAAATACCTTCTTCCCGGCTTCGGCTGGGGGTTTTGACAATTAATGGATCGTTTCTTGGCGGAAGACTGAGATTCGATCAAGCTTTGACTAGCTTGGACTGGCTTCGGCCTGGACCTGTTAGGACAAGTTATGACCAGCTTTGACTAGGCTCTGACCAGCTTGGACAAGCTCTGACCAATATTTTGACCAGTGGCCTATGAGTGGAAACACTCCGGGTCTCCCACGTTAATCGACCTTGTGTCATATCTTGATTTAGTGGGAATCAAGTAAATACCTTCTTCCCGGCTTCGGCTGGGGTTTTGACAATTAATGGATCGTTTCTTGGTGGAAGACTGAGATTCGATCAAGCTTTGACTAGCTTGGACTGGCTTCGGCCTGGACCTGTTAGGGACAAGTTATGACCAGCTTTGACTAGGCTCTGACCAGCTTGGACAAGCTCTGACCAATATTTTGACCAGTGGCCTATGAGTGGAAACACTCGGGTCTCCCACGTTAATCGACCTTGTGTCATATCTTGATTTAGTGGGAATCAAGTAAATACCTTCTTCCCGGCTTCGGCTGGGGTTTTGACAATTAATGGATCGTTTCTTGGCGGAAGACTGAGATTCGATCAAGCTTTGACTAGCTTGGACTGGCTTCGGCCTGGACCTGTTAGGACAAGTTATGACCAGCTTTGACTAGGCTCTGACCAGCTTGGACAAGCTCTGACCAATATTTTGACCAGTGGCCTATGAGTGGAAACACTCGGGTCTCCCACGTTAATCGACCTTGTGTCATATCTTGATTTAGTGGGAATCAAGTAAATACCTTCTTCTTCCGGCTTCGGCTGGGGTTTTGACAATTAATGGATCGTTTCTTGGCGGAAGACTGAGATTCGATCAAGCTTTGACTAGCTTGGACTGGCTTCGGCCTGGACCTGTTAGGACAAGTTATGACCAGCTTTGACTAGGCTCTGACCAGCTTGGACAAGCTCTGACCAATATTTTGACCAGTGGCCTATGAGTGGAAACACTCGGGTCTCCCACGTTAATCGACCTTGTGTCATATCTTGATTTAGTGGGAATCAAGTAAATACCTTCTTCCCGGCTTCGGCTGGGGTTTGACAATTAATGGATCGTTTCTTGGCGGAAGACTGAGATTCGATCAAGCTTTGACTAGCTTGGACTGGCTTCGGCCTGGACCTGTTAGGACAAGTTATGACCAGCTTTGACTAGGCTCTGACCAGCTTGGACAAGCTCTGACCAATATTTTGACCAGTGGCCTATGAGTGGAAACACTCGGGTCTCCCACGTTAATCGACCTTGTGTCATATCTTGATTTAGTGGGAATCAAGTAAATACCTTCTTCCCGGCTTCGGCTGGGGGTTTTGACAATTAATGGATCGTTTCTTGGTGGAAGACTGAGATTCGATCAAGCTTTGACTAGCTTGGACTGGCTTCGGCCTGGACCTGTTAGGACAAGTTATGACCAGCTTTGACTAGGCTCTGACCAGCTTGGACAAGCTCGGACCAATATTTTGACCAGTGGCCTATGAGTGGAAACACTACCGGGTCTCCCACGTTAATCGACCTTGTGTCATATCTTGATTTAGTGGGAATCAAGTAAATACCTTCTTCCCGGCTTCGGCTGGGGTTTTGACAATCTTGATTTAATGGATCGTTTCTTGTTTCTTGGAAGACTGAGACTGCTTTCGATCAAGACCTAGGGACAAGTTTGACCTAGACCAATATTTTGACCAGTGGCCTATTGGACTGGTCTCCACGTTAATCGACCTTGTGTCATACTTGATTTAGGACATGGATCGTTTCTTGGCGGAAGATGAGATTCGATCAAGCTTTGACTTGGAGGAGGGACTGACCAGCTTTGGACAAGCTTCTCTGACCAATATTTTGACCAGTGGCCTATGAGTGGAAACACTCGGGTCTCCCACGTTAATCGACCTTGTGTCATATCTTGATTTAGTGGGAATCAAGTAAATACCTTCTTCCCGGCTTCGGCTGGGGGTTTTGACAATTAATGGATCGTTTCTTGGCGGAAGACTGAGATTCGATCAAGCTTTGACTAGCTTGGACTGGCTTCGGCCTGGACCTGTTAGGACAAGTTATGACCAGCTTTGACTAGGCTCTGACCAGCTTGGACAAGCTCTGACCAATATTTTGACCAGTGGCCTATGAGTGGAAACACTCGGGTCTCCCCACGTTAATCGACCTTGTGTCATATCTTGATTTAGTGGGAATCAAGTAAATACCATTCTTCCCGGCTTTTTTTTCGGCTGGGGTTTTGACAATTAATGGATCGTTTCTTGGTGGAAGACTGAGATTCGATCAAGCTTTGACTAGCTTGGACTGGCTTCGGCCTGGACCTGTTAGGACAAGTTATGACCAGCTTTGACTAGGCTCTGACCAGCTTGGACAAGCTCTGACCAATATTTTGACCAGTGGCCTATGAGTGGAAACACTCGGGTCTCCCACGTTAATCGACCTTGTGTCATATCTTGATTTAGTGGGAATCAAGTAAATACCTTCTTCCCGGCTTCGGCTGGGGGTTTTGACAATTAATGGATCGTTTCTTGGTGGTAGACTGAGATTCGATCAAGCTTTGACTAGCTTGGACTGGCTTCGGCCTGGACCTGTTAGGACAAGTTATGACCAGCTTTGACTAGGCTCTGACCAGCTTGGACAAGCTCGGACCAATATTTTGACCAGTGGCCTATGAGTGGAAACACTCGGGTCTCCCACGTTAATCGACCTTGTGTCATATCTTGATTTAGTGGGAATCAAGTAAATACCTTCTTCCCGGCTTCGGCTGGGGGTTTTGACAATTAATGGATCGTTTCTTGGCGGAAGACTGAGATTCGATCAAGCTTTGACTAGCTTGGACTGGCTTCGGCCTGGACCTGTTAGGACAAGTTATGACCAGCTTTGACTAGGCTCTGACCAGCTTGGACAAGCTCTGACCAATATTTTGACCAGTGGCTGACCAATATTTTGACCAGTGGCCTATGAGTGGAAACACTCGGGTCTCCCACGTTAATCGACCTTGTGTCATATCTTGATTTAGTGGGAATCAAGTAAATACCTTCTTCCCGGCTTCGGCTGGGGTTTTGACAATTAATGGATCGTTTCTTGGCGGAAGACTGAGATTCGATCAAGCTTTGACTAGCTTGGACTGGCTTCGGCCTGGACCTGTTAGGACAAGTTATGACCAGCTTTGACTAGGGCTCTGACCAGCTTGGACAAGACCAATATTTTGACCAGTGGCCTAGGTCTCCCACGTTAATCGACCCAGATTTTGGACAAGTAAATACCTTCTTCCGGCTTCGGCTGGGGGTTTTGACAAGTTAATGGATCGTTTCTTGACCAATATTTTGACCTGTTAGGACAAGTGGCCTATGACCAGCTTGGACAAGCTGGGGACCAAAAACACTCGGGTCTCCCACGTTAATCGACCTTGTGTCATATCTTGATTTAGTGGGAATCAAGTAAATACCTTCTTCCCGGCTTCGGCTGGGGGTTTTGACAATTAATGGATCGTTTCTTGGTGGAAGACTGAGATTCGATCAAGCTTTGACTAGCTTGGACTGGCTTCGGCCTGGACCTGTTAGGACAAGTTATGACCAGCTTTGACTAGGCTCTGACCAGCTTGGACAAGCATTCTGACCAATATTTTGACCAGTGGATGAGTGGAAACTAGTTGGACTGGGTCTCCCACGTTAATCGACCTTGTGTCAATCTTGATTTAGTGACCAGTGGCTTGATTTTTTGGCTGGGGTTTTGACTAATGGATCGTTTCTTGGCGGAAGACTGAGATTCGATCAAGCTTTGACTAGCTTTGACTGGCTTCGGCCTGGACCTGTTAGGACAAATGACCGCTTTTGACTAGGCTCTGACCAGCTTGTCTGACCAATATTTTGACTAGTGGCCTTGAGTGGAAACACTCGGGTCTCCCACGTTAATCGACCTTGTGTCATATCTTGATTTAGTGGGAATCAAGTAAATACCTTCTTCCCGGCTTCGGCTGGGGTTTTGACAATTAATGGATCGTTTCTTGGTGGAAGACTGAGATTCGATCAAGCTTTGACTAGCTTGGACTGGCTTCGGCCTGGACCTGTTAGGACAAGTTATGACCAGCTTTGACTAGGCTCTGACCAGCTTTGACAAGCTCTGACCAATATATTGACCAGTGGCCTATGAGTGGAAACACTCGGGTCTCCCACGTTAATCGACCTTGTGTCATATCTTGATTTAGTGGGAATCAAATAAATACCATTCTTCCCGGCTTCGGCTGGGGTTTTGACAAGTAATGGATCGTTTCTTGGTGGTAGACTGAGATTCGATCAAGCTTTGACTAGCTTGGACTGGCTTCGGCCTGGACCTGTTAGGACAAGTTATGACCAGCTTTGACTAGGCTCTGACCAGCTTGGACAAGCTCTGACCAATATTTTGACCAGTGGCCTATGAGTGGAAAAACTCGGGTCTCCCAGTTAATCGACCTTGTGTCATATCTTGATTTAGTGGGAATCAAGTAAATACCTTCTTCCCGGCTTCGGCTGGGGTTTTGACAATTAATGGATCGTTTCTTGGCGGAAGATTGAGATTCGATCAAGCTTTGACTAGCTTGGACTGGCTTCGGCCTGGACCTGTTAGGACAAGTTATGACCAGCTTTGACTAGGCTCTGACCAGCTTGGACAAGCTCTGACCAATATTTTGACCAGTGGCAGCAGGTCTCCCACGTTAATCGACCTTTGTGTCATATCTTGATTTAGTGGGAATCAAGTAAATACCATTCTTCTAGGCTGGTTTTTTGGCCTCGGGGTTGAGCGACCTAGCCTCATCACGCTGACCAGACCAGCAGCAGCCAGCAGACATCAGCAGCATTTTGACCAGCTATCAGAGCAGTCCGGCCTCCTCCTCATCATCAGCAGCAGCTAGAGCCAGCAGAGCAGTCCGGCCTTCATCAGCAGCAGCTAGGGCCATCTAGCCAGAGCAGTCCGGCCTCCTCATCAGCAGCAGCCAAGGCCAGCAGCAGCAGCAGCTAGAGCCAGCAGAGCAGTCCGGCCTCCTCATCAGCAGCAGCAGCAGCAGCTAGAGCCAGCAGAGCAGTCCGGCCTCCTCATCAGCAGCAGCCAAGACCAGCAGATATCAGCAGCAGCCTATCCTCGGCAGCACATGATATGCACTAGTCTATCCTCGGCTACATGATATGCACTAGCCTATCCTCGGTTACATGATATGCACTAGCCTATCCTCGGTTACATGATATGCACTAGTCTATCCTCGGTTACATGATATGCACTAGCCTACACTCGGTTACATGATATGCACTAGCCTATCCTCGGTTACATGATATGCAATAGTCTGCCCTCGATTACATAATATGCAATAGTCCTTTTCAGGACTAACCTAGCCGCGTCCTTTTATTAGGACTACCAAGCTGCGATCCTGCGCGACACTCCACCCAAGGACGAACTGAATACACCACAGCACTGTCCGCGTCGATCCTCTCTCTCTGCAAGCGCCGACGCACCCTTTACTCAAGTACAGACATCCAGGGATCGACTGGACCTCGGACATCCCTGTTTCCATTCGGCCTACCTCCAAGCTGTCGCCTTGAAACCTGACAACGCTCCTCCAAGACTACACGACCGAACTACTACAAACGATTATTTGTATATATTCGTGCCAGATTTATTTAATAAAATTTGGCTTAAACTTTTACATCCTCGTTTTTGTTGTCCTTGCTTCGATCGTATTATCTTATATTATTTTTCCGTTTGCGGGGTTAACAGTCAACCTGCTTAGCGCCGCAACAATAGTAATGTTGTAAGGGATTGGAGACAATGATAATATAAGTAGCTAATAGTTATTGTAAATTGGTAGAAGTGATCAGTAATGGTGGTGGTAGAATGATAAAACCATAAATGTAGTTATAGTGGTGGTAGCTTGAACTAAATGTGGTTGTTGGTGTTTTATTTTATTTTGTTATATGTATTAATTTATTTTGGTATAGATCCTGATAATAGGTATTCTGTGTAAAATTATGATAGTTGAAAATTGCTATAATTTTTATTTTTAATTTACAAAAAAACACTTTTGTTATTATTTTAAAGCTGGTTATTTCCTTGTTTTTTAGTTTTTTTATGACTGCGTATGTGTAACTGGTAGAAATTTCAGTTTGTAATTCTTATTGGTTATTTTTATCGTGGTATTAAATGTGCTGGGGGAGGGGGTAGTTTACGTTAATAATTATGGCGGGTTTATATGGTAATAGTAGATGTGATGTGATAGTAATGTGTAAGGTGGTTGGTGGCAATGATAATATAAGTGATTAATATTTATTGTAAATTGTTAGTAGTGATTAGTAATGTTGGTGAGAGAATAATAAAAACCTATAAATGTAATTATTGTGGTGCTAGCTTGAACTAAAGAGTGGTTGTTGGTGTTTTATTTTATTTTATTTTCTATATTTATTTGTTTATTTTGGTATGAATCCTGGTAATAGGTATTTATTCTCATGGTTACATATGGAAATTATTTCTGATCTTATTGTTTTTTTTTTTTTTTGTTGTTTTTTTAAGGTATTAAATATGCTGGGGTAATATACGTTAATGATTATAGTGGATTTATATGTTAATAGTAGATGTGATGTGTTAGTGATGGTGTTGGGTGTTGGTGGTAATGATAATATTAGTCGTTAATAGTTATTGTAAAGTGGTAGAAGTGATTACTAATGGTGGTGCAATGATAATAACGATAAATGCAATTATTGTGATGGTATCTTGAAATTAAATTGTGATTGTTGGTGGTATGTCTTTTTTATCTGTTTGGTATGAATTCGGATAATAGGTACTTGTTCTCATGCTTACATTTGGAGATTATCTCTGATTTTTTGTTTAGGAAATTCTTTTGCGGTTTGTGTGATATTATTGCTACTTTTTCGTGTAGGCAAAGTAGGCATTTTTTTGTAATGTTGCTGTAGGCAGGAGTTTTTTTTTCAATATTTCCCAACTTATTGTTGGTGTGATATTTTTGTCTTTTTGCTGCCACATATATGTAGAAAGTGCCTATGTTCGTTTTAACGGGTTTGTTGTATGGTGGATTTTTCGGATTACATCTCTATTTTCGTTGTCCTCTTATTACCGAGAAGTAAAAACAAGAACAAAATCTATTTCCATACCTGAGGATGTCTTTAGGAACAGACGAAAGTTTGTAAAAATTAAAAGACCTTATGCAACTGGAATTTATGAACAGGGATCATATCATTCATATACAGGTTTGGGGTTGATGTATCTCATTTATATTGTTTGCGAAGATGTATTCTCGCCATTTAAATCATTAACCTCTATATTTGTTTTTTGTATGAATGATTTATGAATTTATAAATTATAATTGCACCTCTAATTGAAATTAAAATAACTGATCCAACGTCCAACTTTCGGATAAGTGTGACATTACTGTAATTATTGAACATTATAGTTCATGCCACATAGACGGAAAATCTACCAGTAAAAAAGAATTCTCTTTTGTACAAAAACGCACAACCTTAAAATTTAAATTCAAACTCAGCGTTGCGACCGCACGTTCCAAAACAATAACACATTTCTCATAGTATTTTTTCGGATTTCATCTCTATTTTCGTTGTCCTCTTATTACCGAGAAGTAAAAACAAGAACAAAATCTATTTCCATACCTGAGGATGTCTTTAGGAACAGACGAAAGTTTGTAAAAATTAAAAGACCTTATGCAACTGGAATTTATGAACAGGGATCATATCATTCATATACAGGTTTGGGGTTGATGTATCTCATTTATATTGTTTGCGAAGATGTATTCTCGCCATTTAAATCATTAACCTCTATATTTGTTTTTTGTATGAATGATTCATGAATTTATAATATATATATATATATATATATATATATATATCGAAAAAAACATATTTTAAATTAATTAATTTATAATATTAATGCTCTGTAAATTTACATTGAACACTATTTTGTAAAAATAAAAATATCTATAAGAACACCGGATTATATATCTTACTGTTCTTTCTTTCTTTCTTTCTCTCTCTCTCTCTCTCTCTATATATATATATATATATATGGTGTCTCAAAATAATGTATACACTCTTAGAATCGTTATAACTTAATCAATTTATGTATTTTGACTATAAGATTAATACAAGAGAAAGAATACACATTTAAAGAATTTGAGAAAAAATGAAAAAAAACATAGAAAATGAACTTTAATAAGATAAAAGCTATTTGGGTCAATGGCAGAATGTTCATATAATGATGAATTCGCATCAAGTGCTCAAACTGGTTGCCGTTCTGTTCAATACACTTTTCATATCTTGAAGAAATAGACCTACAAACGTCTGGTATCATTTCCTCTGGTATTTGAACACATTCTTCTTCAATTGCTACTCTCATTTCAGAAATTGTTTCAGGTTTCCTGCTGCAAACGTTCTCTTTTAAAACCCCCACAAAAAGAAATCCAAGGGTGGCAAATCTGGTGATCTAGGTGGGTATTCAACTGTCCCTCTTCTTCCAATCCATCTGTTTTGCATATTTTCATCCATATAAGTTCTCGCATCATGCTAATGTATTATCAACTATTAATATTTAAAGAGTGTATACATTATTTTGAGACACCCTGTATATATATATATATATATATATTCATTATTCATTTATATATATATATCATCCATTTATATATATATTCATTATTCATTTATATATATATATATATATATATATATATATATATATATTATGAATTAACTGATTTAAAATATGTTTTTTCATTAGACAGTATTAACCATGTTTTGGAAAATTGAAACATGGTTAATACTGGTAGCGAAAAACATTTTAAATCAGTTAATTTATAATATTAATGCTCTGCAAATTTATATTGAGCACTATTTTGTAGAAATAAAATACCAATAAGAACACCAGATTATATATCTTACTGTTCTTTCTTTCTTTCTATCTATCTATCTATCTATCTATCTATCTATCTATCTATCTATATATATATATATATATATATATATATATATATATATATATAAGGCTCAAACACTAATATTCCATGGTTATAATTTATTACATTGGAATCGTAATCACGATCCAATTCCTCAGACTTACAAATTCAAAAAGAAATCGGAAAATTTATAACTCCGGGTACAAAAAACATTTTAGTGAGAGTGTATGTGTGGGAGCGGGAAACAACTGAAATGAGGAAAATGTATGAAAGCTCTAGAGAGAGGTGTAACAGAAGAATAGGAAGGCCTAAAGGTGAAGGTGGGGATTAAAATCTAACAGAGAGAAGTTTTAAAAAGAGCAACTAAATAACGGTTTAAATGAGTAAGATACAGATAAATATGAATTATTTTTCGATGCATAAACTCGATCTAGGAGTCCTACCTGCAATTGTAGGAGTAAATAGAGCTAATTGTACAATCGGGGAAAATGTATGTATGAGAATGTAATATATGAACCAACAATCTTTCCCGGAGAAAATATCAACCTGAAAAAAGATACATAGGTATATCCGCTGGTAATTGGAAGCAACGTCTATCCAACCATAGACGCTCTTTCAAATATCGATACCTTAAAAATCAAACTTCCTTATCCAAACACTACTGGGAAATGGCGGATAAGAAACTAACTCCGCATTTCGAATGGAGATTCTTATCAAGAGCGAGAACCCTTAATAACTTCCGCGATCGGTGTGATCTATGCACTGCGGAAAAATTTTTTATTATTAAAGATAAAAATCAAGATGAGTTGCTGAATCTTCGTAGTGAGATCATTTCCAAATGTAAACGTAAAAAACGCTTTAAAACATAAACACAGTTTTATAACGTGTTGTTATCTATAACAGTTCAATCTTGGATCACTAACATCGGACATGACATTTAAACGGAATGACTCTTATGATTATCTATATGTATCATTGTCTGTTGTTACGTTAGCCCAATATTTGTACCCTCACCTCAGATTTTATAAGTATATTTTAAGTACATTGTGTATGTACGACGAGACATAGGAATATTAATAACTTCTTTATTTCTTGAAAAAGTAGATTGTGGGATATACGTGTTTTTTTCATCCCCAGTTGAATCAGGGCCAGTTCTTGGAAGAGAACCTCTCATTTCCTGTCTGGTTCTTGATCGTAGGCCAGACGAACACTGTTTGACGAATAAGTGCAAATGACCCCAACAGTATTCCATGAATGACACCTACGCATTTTTCGTTGGCTGGTACGTGACGGTTTTGTTTCGCGCCTGTCGGGGTAACAATTCTTCACTTAGCTGCTTGCCCCTGGACGAGGTGGACGTCATCAGAATGTCTTAGCCGCTTGCAGTTGGAAGAAGTAGATGTCACCAAAATCAAATTTCGCTGTTTGCTGCCCGAAGAATTAAGAACATCATCACCCAAGTTGGCTACACTTTTATGATTCACATGTGTATACTAGAACATTGATAATCCCTCCCTTTTATGTTCAGAAAAAAGAAAAAAAAAAAAAAAAAAGAGTATATGGACATCTTTTTTCGTTACACTGTATTGATGAAAATCCTGATTGACATCAATCACCATCTACTGTAAGTGTT